GTTTATAACCTCCCCCACTAGCAGGGTCACGAATAACATATCGACATGTGCCGACATGTGCTAGTGTTTATAACCTCCCCCACTAGCAGGGTCACAAATAACATGACCACATCGAAGACAAAACAGGCAGAAGTTAACAGGAATCACAATTCATAATCACTTTCAGATCATCAGGACAGTCACTTAAATTTCAAGTAGGCATGCTCAATTTAATGAAAAGCATAAAACATTTCACTTCAAATCAGTCATACTTGTGTAAAACGGGTTTAGTCCTCCCACCACTTCAAAAACAAATCAAAACATGCTTTTAAAAACTGTACGGGCATTACCATAAATTTACTTACCTCACTCCGCAAAACTGAGCACTCAAGTCACGTACTAAACTGACAGAACGATCAAGAACCTAATCAAAATATCCACAATTAATTATCGTATCACCACAAATTCAAACTGAAATCATCATTAGGATCATTCCTAATCACAATGCTATTTCCATAAATCTCCACATGATCAAATATCTCCAAATTCGTTCTTATATCACAAACTAATCACTTAAATCCCCGTTAATTGTTGGCCTTCGGCGTGTGAACAGTGTTCTATGAACAGTGCCATAAACAGTGTTCTGTGAACAGTACCACGACCTGAACAGTACTCTCTAACTTCCAAAAATGGGCCAAAACACTAGCTAATTCACGGGATTTTTCTCCAAAATCACCACAACCCAATTCAAGCTAATTTACACTTAAACCAAGCTTGAAAACATAACTTAATCTACCAAAATTTTCCCATTTCTCACGGTAGCACAAGGAGAGCACAACTTTGGCAAATCACAATTCACACACACGAGATTTTCACACAAAACATCACAGCAGCTAATTCAAGCTAAATTCTACTTAATCAAGCTTAAAACACATTTGAAATGCTACTAATGCTACCGGAATTCCTCCCCATTTCCGGCACAATTCAGACACACACAAAGCAGTAATTAAATGGCTAATTTAGGGCTTAAAGAAGTGGCCATCATACCAGAATTTTCCAGCAAGAACCGGAGCTGCAGGGGGGGAGAGAAGCCGGCGGCAAGCTGTAGGGAACTCACGGACTACCCAAAAATTTAGGGAAATAAACAGAAATTAGCATAACCCAGCCTAAATCAAGGTTAAAGAGATGATTTCTTGGTTGTGGCTTACTCGAAAAATGCCCAGAAAATCGCACCCGCAACCAGCAGAAACTCACGGACCGAAGGGAAAAGGAAGGGAGAGCAGATTTGGAAATTTCTACTTCAAAGGGAGGGTTCTAGGTCCCAAAATCAGTTCTTTAACAAGAAAAGAAGAGAAAATAGCAAGCTTTTGCCGATTCCTCAAGAGAGGACTGTCGGCAGCTTGGGGGCTTGTCAGGAGGAAGAATCGGGAAGAAGGAGAAGATAAGGAAGAGCAAAACACGTGGCTGAGGAGAGAAATATCAGCCTTGATCCTTATCCTAATTCTTTTCCCTTTTTAAGTCCCTCAGCTTTCAGAATATTCACATCAAGCCCCAAAACAATCTTTTCTCACACAAAGGTCCTTAACTTAATGCTAAAATATCACAAAATTTTGGGGTATTACACAAGTACTTCTCTAGCTTTATTTTTGCTACTCTTCTACCATTGGCAACTTTAAACTTCTTATAATCAGACCTCACTTGGGATGTTTGCATGCTATTTTTCGGATTTGCCACACTTTGGAGATTGATTACAGAGGTAGAGCTGCTTCCTTCTTCATCAAATGATTGACAGTCACTTGATTTCATAGTAAAGGAATTCAACCTCTTGTATTCTTCAAACAACATTCCCATCTCATGTTTGACCATGGCAACATAAAGAGGCCCATCATCATTAGGTTCACCATTAGGTTTATGACCATACATCTTTAATATTAAATACGCCAAATAATCCATCTTATACCTTGGATCCAACACCACTACAAAGAAGATGTTTTTGTTCATCTCCCTTGCATTCCCTTAATACTTTTTATACTTTCCTCATTCTACCAGCAAGATCATGAAGATCCACATCTCGTTGCCATTTTTTAAGTATATGATCAACCTACAAGTAAAATAATTTAGCAAGATCTATAAATTATTATTTAATTGAAATAAGGTATAACTTATAAACAAAAATATATAACCTCACTAAGCTCAGGAAAATATAAATTGTTGGTAGTAGACAAGGTTCTAGAGACTTTCCCCCTCAACTCATAAAAATGATGTAGAAATTTGATTAATCTTCTTACATTTTCCCAATCTATGCAAGAAGGGAATCTAGGAGTATCGGGGCCATCATTCAACTCATTCTTCATGTTTGGGCCTTGTCTTGCATATCTTAAAAAAAAAAAAATGCAACCATTAGATAAATAGTTAAGATTTCTAACTAAAAACTATTAAAAACAGAAAATACAAATAAAATAAAATAGGACTGACCTTTGAAAAGCTTCCTCAAACCTCTCAGTAGTGTGCAACATCAAATAAAGTGAATTTTACCTTGTTTGGATGTCCAAACACAATAGCTTTTTGGATTCAATTTTTGCCCACTCCTTAAATCTCTTTAACCTCATAGGACTTTGCCTAACATATTTGATTGCAGCCTTAATGGCAGTCACAGACTTGTTCATCTCTTTTTCTTTGGTACCTTCACCAACAACCAAGTTTACGATGTGGGTTGCACATCTCATGTGAATGTCTTTCCCACCAAGAATAGCAGTTCCCCATTTGTTCATTGCATCGTTTAAAACCCTCACAAGTCCATCATTTGCTAATGCATTATCAATGGTTAATGCATAAATTTTCTCTAACCCCCTATCCTTCAAACATCTAACAAGAAGATCTCTTAACTCATCTCCTTTATTGTTATCAACAGGACAAAAACAAAGTATTTTCTTATGTAACTTCCACTTAGCATCAATGAAATGAGCAGTCAATCTCATATAAGTGATTCTTTGTAAGCTAGTCCAAGTGTCAGTGGTTAATGACACTCTTAGATTTGATTCTTTGAAGAATTTTTTCAAAGCAATTCTATGTTCTACATAGATGTCATAACATTCTTTAGTTATGGTTCTCTTAGATGGAATTTCAAAAGTCGGTGGCAATGCTACTTCACAAAACCTCATAAAGCCTAATTTTTCAACCAAGCTAAAGGAGTCTTCATCAATAATTAACATTTCAGCCAATGCTCTCTTCACTGCACCTTCATCAAACTTCCAAGACCCTAAATCAATCATTGTCTTACTTTTATCTACTTTACTAACATACTTCAACAGTGTGTTATTTTTCAAATTACTAGGATTTTTCAAACAACATTCAACATGACCATTCATGGTAGAAGTACCATTTCTCCTAGGTTTAGCACATAACATCTTTCCATAATAATTACATGTTGCTTTCTGCTTACCAGTAATTGGATCATCAAATGTAGTGAAGTGTAGCCATACCTTTGACCTTTTTTGTATACCCTTTCTTTTCTTTCCAAGATTCCCATCCTCACCATCATTGTTATGCAATTCCATAGCACTGTCTGCTAGTGTTACATCAGTATTAGCTACATTACTCACACCTTGAACCAAAAAGGTCAAAATTTACATGATTAATTCAAAAAAAATTATAAGATATTAACCACATTCATTAGTTGATAAGAAAATAATCAAATTCAGTAAACTAAAACTTACAGCTGGATTAATTCCATTCAAGTGATCAATCTCCATCTTGATATCTTGAATCTTAAATATTGTAATAGAATAGAATAATACAAGTCTATAACCAATTAGATATAAAAGGTTAAAAAATATAATTATAAGCATTATAAACAATATATTAAAAAGAATCTCAATTTTTTAACAATTGAAGCCACACTTCAACTTTCAAGCTCAATCTAAAAAATTCCACAAATTAATACAAGCAAATCTCTTCTTTATACATGCATTACAATCTACCATAAATATAAACAGAAGTAAATTATAAATAAAAGTAAATTAGGAAATAAGTTTAATTATGCAAGTCAAAATTAATTCCATCCAATTTCTTTTTTTTTTTGGAATGAATAATTCCATCTAAATTCATCGTAGGAATCTAAATTCTCAAACTTTTTATCCACTGCTGTAGCCTATAGTAGTAGCAAAAACTACTAAAACGCGATTTTATTGTAGTAAATTAAACCACCAAAACCAAGATATCAACACAAAAAAAAAAAAAAATCAAAACTCGCTCAAAATAAGATGATTATGCTTTTGAGAGGATTTGATTATTTATATTTTTAAATTAAAAAAATATTAATAGCATTATCGTCACCACCACCATCATCGATTTGCAGATCTGGGCACATCCTCATTGTTTTTGACATTCACTCACCTCTGGCCTTTTCCAACGACCATGAATCGAAGATTAAAGATGAGAGGAAAAATAAAAAATGGAAGGAGAAATCAGAGATGAGGGGAAAGGTGAAATCTTGGATGAGTTTTGATGGTTCTGATGGTTTTGAGGCCATGGAATATGATGATGATGACCAGAGAAGAAAAAAAAGTTGGTTGCCAAGGACGAGTGGTTGAAGTAGAGGGAAAGGAATTTGTGTGGGGAGAGATATGAGTGAAGAAATAGATACAAAGTAACAAAATGCACACTATTGAGTTTAATTTCAAGAAGAAATCAAAACACTAATTTGCCTTTCTACCTGGATCTTTAAATTTTCAAAATATAGTACATGCATAGGGAGAAAAACTCTGAAAGGATAGAGAAAGAATTAGGAATTTTACCTACACCAACACCTCGGCTACAAAAGAATGACAAAAGTGATGAAGAGAGCAGAGTGGTGTATCTTTGTATGAACATTCATAAACAACAGACAAGAGACAGAGTGGAAAGAGGTAGAGATGAGTGGTAGCTTTGCGAACTGAGACTCTCTAGATTATTAATTAAGAATCAAAGAGCCAATTTAATCAAAAACCAATCCCATAATAGAATCGGAATCCATAGGAAGAGTTGACAAGGAAAAAAAAAAAAAGAAAAGATCCATAAGAACTTACTAGATTCCAAATTTATCAAGAATAGGATGGAGAGGAGTCGAAAGCCATATAGAGAGAGAAAGAAACAGAAGATCTTAGTAGGGGCTTTGATTTTAGATTTTTGGTGATGCACTACAGAGATATGGCTGGAGCTAAAGTAGATTGGGGTTAAAGATGGATGATGAAGAGAGTTTACAGTAAAGAAAGGATGAGATCTTGAGCGAATGAAGAAAGTAAGTGAGAAAAAAGAAAGTGAAAGTGAAGTGAGAAGGAAATATGAAAGATTAATGATGAGTCCATTCGAAAATTAGAGGAAATGGTTGCAAATTTCTAATTTGGATTAGGGAGGGAAAGGTTTTGGCGGAGAATCAAAGGGCGGAGGAGGCAAGTAGATGAAAATTTCTGGGGGAGGCCGGGAGGGAATGAATAAAATTACTCAAATTAGGGTTTGTCTTTTAGAATGCATATATTTTATATTTTCTTAAAAAATAATGCGGGTTCGCGTTCGTGCTCAGCCCTACCAACTAGGAGGATCTAAAGCTCCTCAACTCTATTTCATCATAGATGCAAGTGAATGGAAAAGGGAAATGAACTTCAAAACTAGATTTCTAACAACCACATAACTCCTACAAAAGGAACACAGAGAGTGTGAACCTATATATTAAGAATCTACACCTATGTTAGAGTGTCCTAAGAATGTGTTTCAGAGGGTATCCACTAGTTGCAAAAAAAATTTGTAAAATATAGTAAGCTTTTTACCATCTCTCACTAAAAAAGGGGCCCATATATATATTAAAAGTCTCCACCACAACAACCATATATTAACATCACCCATTGGCAGGAGCCAGAAAAAATTTGGTTAAACCCTCATTTGGGTCCCTCAACTATTATACAAACCCCAATTTGGTCCCCAAACTAAAAAATCCCTAATTTGGTCCCTATTGTTTACCATTTTAGCCCCAACTTGGTCCTTCTGTTAAAAATCCACCTACATGTTCCGCTACTTGACTAGAAAAGATGACATGTAAAAGTATCTTGACACATAAGATGTATAGCATGGCAAAAACAATGATATGATAAGAAAAAACCTTAAAAAATTTCCTTTTACCATTTTTTTATTTCTTCCTTTGATTTTCCTTTTTCCCTTTTCTCTTGTAAATCCTAACACCTTCTAATATTAAATCCAAAGATAACACAAACATTAGCCCAAAATCTCCCCAAAATAGTCATCGGCCTTAAATTCTTTCTCACGGCCTCCCAAAAAGCCTAGAAAAATCAAGGCATCTTCTCCCAAAATTTTGAAAAAAAAAAAAAAAAACACAACTAAAGCATCTTTCAAGTCTTTCGAACCCAGTAGATTAGTAAATTGCAGGGTTCCATTGAACCCACCCAACAAATCTGTTGGGTTTCGAATCCCTAGCAAGCCTTGGAAGATGAAGAATTATTGACGAGAAGGTTTAGATGGAAGAGATGAGATCAGTAAAGAGATGATGAAGAGATGAGAAAAGGAGATGATTAAAAACCCATGCTAGCAAACAAGGATCCAGGGGAAGAAGATGAATAACGAAAGAGGTTGAAGATGAAAAGTAAGGGGTAACAAAAGGAGAAAGGAAAGAAAGTGATGTGTGGTTGAAGATGAGGGTACAAATGTAATTTTAGCTTTATAATTAGCTTTATAATTTAACCTTGTCAAGTGTTCCCATAATACCAGGCCAAAAGCTAGAATTTTTCAATTTTCTTCTATGCTGCAAAGCATAAAGATATTTCTAGGTAAAATCTCAAATAATTGATACATGCTCAAGGTGATTATTGAATTAATTTTACCACATGAAGATTCAATACTGGGGCTAACCTTTAATGAACTTGCATGCTGTACTATGAAATGCCCAATTACATCTTTACCTAGATTTGTTGCACACAAGGGACAAACCTGAAATAATAGCAACAAAGCAACCATCAAATTCACAATTTAGCTGCATGCGGTAGTCTCATCCCTTTTTTGTTAGTTTTTCTTGAAAGACTTTGATTCTTATCTTATAATGTAAAGCAGAAATAATCAGATAATGAATCAAATTTATTCAAAGTCTCATATGGACATTATTAGAGACCAATTATTAATCATTACGAATCTAAGTTCCATAATGTAACCTATAACAATAACCAATATATTTATACAAAGAGCAAAGTACAATAAAACATCATACATGGAAAAGCACAAATTGCATGTTTCAAGTCAAAGCAATGCTCTTCTTGCAAATGGCTACATAGAGCATTAATTTCAATCTCCACATAACAGAAAGGGCATGGAAAGCATGTTCTTGTATCGTCATCTCTTTCTAAATCATCATAATGGCTATTTGCTTGAGAAATTAGACAAAAAAAGTAAAATTGCTATAAAACTTGCACTTTTAACAATCTAGAAGAAATTAATGAAGTAATGAACAAAGAAAATAAAAATGAGAGATATGAAACAAAGGAACTCCTTGATACTTATTGAATTTATTCCTTTAGATACTATAAAACATAGTTTACACAAGTAACATGTCACTAGAGTCCAGATAAATGGTGCATAATGGGTGGATGCTATTAAATAACAGAACAAAAATGCAAAAACCAAAGGGTAAAATCCCATTCACACTTCAACAACCCAAGTTAAACTGCCACTTGGAAGTTTTTATGCCTAGAAAAATAGAAGTTAGCAAATAATATAAACAGCAAAACAAAAATGTGAAAACCATAAAAGGCAAGGCAGCCTCTAAACCTACAGAACAAAAACAGCCATAAATCCTCGTTTGACACTCTTCCCCTAAAACAAAACCAACAGGACCTTAAAGAGTAAGGATAGCCAAAAAAGGAATTCATCAACCAATTCTTAATCTCTAAACTTACTTTTAGCCTTAATGGAAAGATGACTCATTTGAATGAAATCTATACAAAATTCTAGGGTTGAAGATGAATAGGAACGCACTGAAAATCTCTATACAATTGTTGGGTTGAACTAAAACCCAATTATTAAAAAATACAAATTAATATATTTGTATAGTAGAATACCAAATCAAAGTAAATCCAAGCATGGTAACATCATCAAAACCTTTAAGATTAGGAATAACTAACATTAGAACAAAGGAAACCCATTGAACAATTAATTTTGCAATTTCTTTTTCATATTCTAAAAAAGTTTTTCAAACCAAATACTGAACCTCTCAAGCTCTAATCTTCAATTGAACCATCAGAATACAATTCTGATCATCATATCGACATCTTTGGTTCAATGGTTGACAATCAAGTTTATTGTAATTTCTCACCTGATTATATGCCTTGAAGCATAAGGAATCTAATGACCCAAATGAACTATTGGATTTTTTCTTGCTGTTAATTGATTCAGTTTATCCAAAGACCTCTGACTATCATCCAGTTGCACATTGTTCTTCTTGAGGTTTTCGTTACAACAATGAAAGGAAATTTAAAAAAAAAAAAAAATTCTTGACAATATTATGTTGTTAAGTCCGCTATTTTATAGTCAGTTCATATTGTAAATCATTTTTTCTTGTTAATCACCAAAAATTTATAAATATTACATTAAAATGAAAATTCTGAGTTTCTAAAATAATGGACTACATTGAAATGAAAGTCAGAGAACCAAATTACTCAAAGATAGTGTAATTTTTAAAAGCAAAAGAAGAACAACAAAGACAAAGTATGTGTTGGGAGTAGACCCAACACCAACACAATAGGCCCATTTATATGTTCGGGGGCCTAACATAACCCTGAATGTGGGCATGTTCACCTAGGTGTACCTATGTGGGTGGTGGCACGTGGGCTAATCGGATATTTACATGTGGGACCTCTTATCATCAATTGGGGCTATAAATACCCCCACCTACCAGCATTGAAGGTATTAACTCCACTACACTTCTCTATCTTGTTATTCTTATTCTTGAGAGCTCATCTCTCTAAGACTAGAATATTGCTAACTTGAGCATTTGAGTGTTTGAGTGTTTTCTCTAAGGAAACATCCTTGGGTATTTTAGGTATAGAAGCAGTAGAAGATCTCGTGAAGTTGCCCAAACATTTGGCGTCGTCTGTGGGAAACTAACAGAGAAGTGGTGTTGCTTTACCGATTGAGGTTAAACATGGTACGTACCTTTACAGGAAGTCAACCTCCCCAATTAGACATAATGGACGTTCAAGTAATATTCAGCTTCTAGAGTTTAACCCCAATGACTTTCGACCAATACCAAGAAAGCTTTTTATAAGAGGAGCAAAAGAGGAAGGGTTAAGTAGTTTCGATGATGAGCGGACGCCCACTTGGTATGCCACCCAGCCTGAGGAACAATTCCAAGCCCAGGGAAGCACATGGCAGAGATGCCCTGTTCATAATACACCACAGTCAAGTAAACCATTGAAATTAGTTTGGACGTTTGAGTTAGAAGAAAGATTCAGGGTTCTAGAAATGGCTATGAGAAATATCCTTTCCCATTTGATTCCTGATGACCCACTAATTCCCCTGTTGAATAGGGGTGACCAACCTGTGGAGGTTGTTGCTCGTAATTTCCCATTTTGAGCAATGTGGTTGTACCGACCAAAGCAAGAGGAAGTGGAAAATTGAACATCGAACCCAGCTCGTCAAAGCTTAATGAAGAGTTTTTAAAGAAGAATAACGAGCTTGAAAAGCAACTTGAGGGTACACAGAAATTTATTGACTAGCTGAGAAGCCCCGGGTTGCATCAATAAGTTCCTGACCTAGATAGTGCTTTTTAAGCCTACCCATAACTACAGAACCTTATCAGGAGGCATTCAAGATTCCCCACTTGGAAACATATGATGGCTCCAGTGATCCTTATGAACACTTGCATACATATCAGGCCATCATGAAAATATAAAATGCCATGGATGCTATGATGTGTGAAGTGTTCCCGGCTACCTTAAAGTCAACAGATAGAAGGTGGCATCACAAACTCTCGAGGAACTCTATTAACTCTTTTCTTCAGCTTGCTACTCTATTCTCCAATAAGTTTGCGAGTCAATGAGAAATAAAACGCACAGCCACTGAGCTAATGTAGATCCACAAAAGGAGGGGGAGTCATTGAGAGATTACATGTAGCACTATAACAAGGCCACCTTAAACATTGATAATGTGCCCGACATGATTTGCCTATCTGCCCTACTGCATGGCCTAAAACCTGGTTAGTTTCTAGATGATTTGTTGGAAAATCCACCAAAATCGTGGAATGAAGTGAATGACAGGTTGACAAGTTTTATCCTGTCAAAAGACTTTCAATCATCCAAAAGGTGAGCTAATGATAAGCAACACAAAGAACATTGGTAACAAGAAGGA